TAAATTTAAGGTATGAGCCATCTATGACTATTTTGTTAAGAATTTTTATTGTAGAGGTGTGTTGGACTTTGTCAAATGCTTTTTCTGCATCTATTGACAGAATCATGTGGTCTTTGTTCTTGTTTTTATTTATGAGGTGAATCGCATTTATAGACTTGTGTATGTTGAACCAGCCTTGCATCCCTGGAATAAAGCCCACCTGGTCATGGTGAATTATTTTTTGATGTGCTGCTGAATTCTATTTGCTAAAATTTTGTTTAGGATTTTTGCATCTGTATTCATGAGGGATATTGGTCTGGAATTTTCTTTTTTTGTTGTGTCCTTTCCTGGCTTTGGTATCAAGGTGATATTGGCTTCGTAGAATGAGTTAGGAAGGAGACTATCCTTCTCAATGGTGTGGAATAGTTTCTGTAGTATAGGTATGAGTTCATTTTTGTATGTTTGGTAGAACTCTGAAGTGTAGCCATCTAGTCCAGGACTTTTCCATTTGGGGAGGTTATTAATTACTGCTCCAATTTCTGAGCTTGAGATTGGTCTATTCAGGAATTCTGTTACCTCCTGGGTGAACTTAGGGAGGTTGTATGAATCCAGGAATTTGTCCATTTCCTCTTTGTTATGTAGTTTTTGCACATATAGTTTTTTTATAGTAGTCAAACATAATGTTTTGTATTTCTGTGGTGTCTGTTGTGATCTCTCCTTTTTCATTTCTTATTGAGTTTATTAGAGTCCTTTCGCTTTGAGTCCTTGTCAATCTAGCAAGAGGGCCATCAATTTTGTTAATCTTTTTGAAAAACCAGCTTCTGGTTTTGTTGATCTTTAGTATAGTTCTTTTGTTCCCCATTTCATTTAGTTCTGCTTTGATCTTTGTTATTTATTTTCTTCTACTAGGATTGGAATTTGTTTGCTCTTCTTTTTCTAATTCCTTGAGCCTTTTCATTAGGTTGTCAGTATCTAAGCTTTCTGTTTTTTTGCATCTGAGCATTTATCGCTATTAGCTTTCCTCTCAGGTAAGCTTTTGCTGTGTCCCACAGGTTTTGGTAACAATTATCTCCATTATCATTTTGTTTGAAGAAACTCTTTATTTCTCTCTGAATTTCCTCCTTGACCTAGTAATTTTTTAATAATAGATTGTTTAGTTTCTATGATTTTGTGAGACGTTGAGTGCTTCTATAGGAATTGAACTATAACCTTTCTTCCATTTTTGAAAACCCTCAGCCACCACACCTTATAGTCTATTCTTCATTCTTTCTATGTTTTGTTTTTAGAGTTCTTCTCATTCCAAGGCAGTGATCTTCAGGTGGGGTGGTTTTGCATCTCTGCTGTCACACAAAGATGTTTGGCAATGCCTGGAGATATGTTTGGTTGCTACATGTGGGAAGGTGTTTGGCTCATCTCCTTTCCACCCTAGGGTTAGGGAGATACACAGCAGAGATCGCAGGAGGCAGGCTTTGTATTATCAAGAGGATGGGGTGACCTCTGTCTGGTTCCCACGGGAAGACGTGATTGGCTTATTTGAATAATTCCAGGGACTAGCAGGAAACTGAACCTGCTACTCAGGAATGAGCAGGACCTGCACCTGGTCTGTTTGATAGGGAGGGTGATTTGGCTAAGGGCCCTTATCTGTGGGGGCAGAGTAAGGAGGGGAGTTTTGATTAGGCCATTCAAGTCCATACCAAATTTCCAGATGTCAAAGCAGGATATAATATTGAACCTCGAGTCTAGGTTTCACACCACTGGAGGGGTGCTGCTGGCGTCTTGTATACAGACCAGACATGCTGTTAAATACCCAACAAAGCACAGGACCACTCCCTCAACAAAGAAGTATTCGTCTCAAATTGCCAATTGTGCTGAGGTCAAGTAACACTGATCTAAGGGTATTATTTATTTTAATTTTTTTATGCTGATTGCAAAATCTTTATTACTCTCCATGATTCTCTCTATTATCATATTTTTTGATCTCTATCTTTCATATTAAAGATGCTGTTTAGATGGGGGCAAGAAAAATACAGCCTGCAGGCTAAATCTCGCCCATGGCTTATTTTTATACAGCCCACACTCTCAGAATTACTTTACACTTTAAAATAAAAAAGAATATGAGATATTACTGCAAAACCCAAAATAATGTCAAATATAAAACAAGACAAAAAGAGTGGGGGTGGGGGAAGGAGGTGGAAATACAGGGAACATACACAAGAAAATCTGAGATCAATTTACGATGTCTTACATCTGCACACCAGCATTTCCAGAAAGAGGACAGGAAAACGTGGGTCATAAAATCACAAATAAAATGACAGAAAACGTATGAACTGAAGGATGCGCGTTTCCGATTAGAAGGTCTCACTGAGTGGCCAGGGACACGTCATGGAATTTAAGAACACTGAGCACAGGGACAAAGTTTCCCTCACTTTCTGGAGAGAAAAAAATGATTTATGTCATCTACAAAGGATCAGGATGATTCTGGATTTCTCAACAGAATATTTGAAAGAGGGGGACAATAGAAAAATATCTTCAAAATTCTGAAGGAAATTATATTCTCCCTCAAATTCCACTCCCAGCGAAACAATTAATCATTTGTGAGGGTAAAACAAACATATTCCCAGGCATTGAAGACTTCCAAAGTACACTGCCATGCTCCTTTTCTCAGAAAGCTGCGAGAGGATGTGCTCTGCCTGACAGCAAGAGTAGAAGGGGAAAACAGCTCAAACAGGGAACAGAGGATCCATCGCAGAAGAGGGGACATGCCGTTCCCCAGCATGAGAGCAGATGGAGACCCCGGATTACAGCCGTGCCCCGCAAAAGAGGGTGGCCAGTCTAGATGAGGGCAATGTGACTCAAGAGACAGACACAAAGTGAATTGTTATCACTGAGATCTCAGCAGCAATTGTATCCTCTTTTTAACCAGAGGACACAATGCGTGGTTAGACGAGAGTCTTCTCGATCTTTGGCTTGTCTTGACCATGTGTTGATGAGGTTCCTGTAATCCTGTCCATAGCCTGCCCACCAGTTTCTCAAGAAGCGGTTTTATAAGAACACAGGGTGGCTCGGTTCAGATTCTGATCCAGAGATCCTAAATTTTTATTCGTAGGGAAAATTTATATGGTACGGGAAGTGTTGGCTTTTCTTTATGTAAGTAAGTTCAGTTTTCTGTATGCTATTTTCCAACCAAAAGTAATATTTTATATAGGGATGCAATCACACAGTGGCAAAAACCATAAAGAAAATATTTAATTAAAAACGTTTGAATAGTGGGTACCTCTGGGGGAAAGGAGGGAGACCCAGTTGGAGAAGGACCACAGCAGCCTTTTAAGGTTTTGTAATATTTTTATTTGAAGTGGGAAGCCTGCAAATGCATGTTTCTCATTCTTCAAACAATTATTAAATAATTTAAATTTGGGGCAAAAAAAGAGGCTAAATATAGCAGAGACTAACTTTGCTGAGCATTTTGTGATTCCAATGCTGATAATTTGGAATTTATGGGAGATGTAATTGTTGAAGAGTGGATCTTTTAGAATGGTTTGATCAATTCAAGCTCTCTTTTTTTTGTGTGATTATTATTCACAATAGATTAGAAAAGAAAAAACGATTGGCATTTCACATATCACCAAAAAGAAAATCAATTCACTGCTTCATTCAATATATTATTCACTGCAGAGTGACTCCCTGTGCTGGCTCTCTGCTGTGAGTGTAATGAGAAGTGGTCCTTGTCTTCACAGAGCTCCTAGTCTAGGTGGAGATTTCTAGCAAGATGGTGCATAAAGTACAAACCTCGTGTCATAGCTAGAAATTCTGGAGAAAGAATAACAAAAATACTTTAAAATTCAGAGTGGAGTTTTTCAGAAAGAAAAGGAAATTCCCAGATGATGAAAGTGAAGAAAGAACTAAAAATTAAAAAGATAAGCACACGAGCTGATGCTGTGCTTCCCTGCGTTTGAGATTTACTGATCTCCTTGCCTGGGGGCGTAGTGCCAGAGGAAGCCTTGGGTCCAGCAAGGTGGGAAATTATTCCAATGCTCTTACCTAACTCATTGTTTACAACCCTGAAATCTTAAAACATTGAGTGTAGACTGAAAGGGAAAGCATAGCAAACATCAAAACAAGGTTCCAAATTTGGGCAAAAAGTGGCAAGATATGGCTGGGACGAACTTTCTGTGATCTCCGTGCTAATACCTGTGGAAGGTATTAAGGTTCTAATCTTCAGGGAGTGCAGGTTTTGAAGGGTCTGGTCAATGCAAGTCCACTGCCATAGATGCTGCAGGCTGCCTCTTTTGTGCCCTCCCAATCTCGCTTCTCTATATATCCAGGAAGAGCCCGAAAACACGTTCAGAAATCAAAGATCAAAACAAAACACCCATATGAGCTCCCAAGTATCTTATTCTCTTCTAAATTGAAGTTATTGAAATGTAAGTGGTTCTGTCAAACTTACTTCTTAAAAGGTACTGTTTGTACAAATTAATTTAGGACCAAAAGGTGTTTTGCAAAATTTGAGTTCTTGGTTCTTTCTCTCATAAGCAGGTTTATTTCCTAACCCTTATGTCATATAATAAAATTAGAGATTTAGACTCAGATTTGGAGTATCATGGTCAGCAAAAAGTTAAAAATAGATTCCTTAGGAGGAGAATGGGAAAGTCATGTAGAGTTTTCTCTGTCTCCCTCAGAACACTTAGTGTTCTCTGTAGGCTGTCGATGATCAGAGATGGTGGCAGAGGACGTGGGAGAGCTGAAATTCTGGATACGGTTCAGTTAATCACGTCTCAGTTACTCGGCAAATAAAGCTCAGACTGAGCTTTAACAGTTATTAACAGTAACTATAAAAATAATATATAATTGACATATGATCCGCCATTGTTTTATCATATATTTAAATTATGGAAAACTACAAACATACCGAAGTAGGGAAATAGCAGAGTATAAAAGAATGCCAATGTCGTCACCATCCAGAGTCAGTAGTTATTGGCCGTTGCTCCTTTGCTCCTGCCTTTGCTCCTTCCTTACTGCGCTCTGCTTCTGGGTTGTTTGAGAAAAGTTTCAGTCATTTAGTTAATCAACAAATATTTCAGTATATATTTCTAGAAGACAAAGACTCTTTATAAAAAACATGACATGACCCTAATTTTATTATCACCTCTAAAAAGTAAACGTTAGTCCATAATTTCACCAATGTCAACATTTCTTCAGTGATCAGCAGTTTTCCACCTGTGCAGGATGTTAGGGGCTAGGGCCCACAGGTGGCAAACAGCTCGCCATTAGCTTCTGTATTTTGCTTGCCCGCTTAGGAGAGTGGCAATTTTCAGCTGACCCTTATCTGACTCCGCACCTGCCATCCGCCTCTGCTAGTCTGATTCAGTTTAGAAACTAAGGAGAAGGGCGGTGGTGCATGGCACAGCGGCCCACAGGATATAGCTGCTAGTCCAGGGACCCTTGGACCCCTGAGGCGCCCGACTTGCTTCATGTACCTAGTGAAATCGCTGGGACTTAGATCACAGGATGCAGGATGTATTTCAACTAAGATTAAAGTCGTAATTAGGGTACTTCAGAGGCGTCCTCTCGGCTGAATCTTAGCTGCAGCCGGTAACTCCTACAAAACCCATCTCAAGGCTCCGAACTCCCTCCTCACATTGTGCTAAAACAAGACAAAATTGTAGGATTAAGGCTTTCTCTTGCTTTTGTAAAAGTGCTTGCTCATTAGATTCTTAGACTGCCGTTTCTGCCTTTAAGAAGGGGCTGTTTTTCCTAGCTCACGGCTCCTTTCTGTGCCTGCCACTCTGCAGGGCAGAAGGAGTCCTGGCCGGCTAATAAAGACTCGCAATTTGAGCCAATTCGGTTGCTAAGGTGGTCTTTTCTTGCACTCCGGACCACAACACAGGACTTAACGAAACAAAAATAGAGTCTTAAACTGTATCAGGAAGCGTCACAGCTAAGACAGAACACAAAGAAGAGACTATTTGACGTAAAAGTGAGACGTTAAGCGCACTGTGATCTCATTTGCTGTGGTTTCGCTCGGCCTCATCCGTTTCAGCAGGCAGGGTGCAAACCTGCTCCCAAATTGCGTCAGCTGCTGGCTTTCAAATGAACAACGTAGTCATGCGCTTTGATACGTTTACCGGGACTGGTATTACATGTATGCGACTTCTGTATTTGCTTAAAATACCCACGTTTCCAGAAAGTTACTGAGGAATGGTGTGAACAGCCGGCTCAGTGACAGGCCTATGGGGAGACAACTTTGTTTGGGGGACATGGGAGAGCTCGTTTAGAGACGGAAGATTGGAGAACCAGACTAGGAAACACAACTGGGGACATTCAAGCGGTCAGACTTGGCAGAGTCCAGCTGCCCGAGTAACAGTGGGCGCGTGTTGGGTCCCGCCCCGCCGAGGCCGGCACCCAGAGAGCGCACACCCAGGCCGGCGTTCAGCTCCACCTTCCGCAAAACCCGAACGGTAAAGGGTACATCAGGCTACCGAAAAGTCACACAGGACCGCGCAGGTAAGCGGCTTGTGTCGATCTGCTTCCCCAGAGGCAGGGCCCGTGCCTGGGGCTCTTGCGTAAGGGGCGCGTCGCGGGAGGGCTTCGGGGAGCTCTGCGGGGACGGAGGGAAACAGGACAAGGCAGGGACAGAACTGAGGTCACCACGTGGGCCCAGCGGGGTCTGGCCTCGGCCTGACCCTTGGGGGTTCTGGAGCGGGGACGGCGTCACAGAGTCCCTCGAGGTCCCTCGGGGCCCAGGGACTGGCCTTTCCGATCCCTCCCTGAGCTTTGGGCCACCCTCCGGGACGGCGTGACCTCCAGGGCACTCTGGCAGTCTGAGCACAGTTGCGGACCACAGCGGGCCGCGGGCGGCGTCTGCCGGGCGGGCGCCCAGGGCCGGGAGGGGCCGTCCTTCGGGCGGTCTCAGCCTCTCCACTCTGGGCGCGCCTGCGGATGGAGCCCCTGCGCTTCCAGGCGCCACGTGTGTGCTCCAGGGAGAAAGAAGGTGACTGGAGTGAGCAGCAGGGAGGCACAGTGCCAAGCAATCAAGCAAATCAAATAAAAAACCATCAAGAACGGTCACTTTTACAAGCTGCTGGCACTTCCTCTTGGACATCCCGGGCCAGAACCGGGTAATGCAGGCCCTCCGTGTGTGTGAAGCAGGTGGAATTCTGAGGGCTTCTTGCAGCTTCGCAGGGGAGGGAGGCGAGGGGAAGCGGGCGTGGGGAGGCCACGGTGCCGACCAGAGGAGGGTCCAGGGTCCAGGGTCCCCGACGCGCGTGTGCAGACAGCCCGGGGACTCCAGGCTTCACGTGCAAATGTCTCCTCCAACCATGTGTAGATTTAATTTAGAATTGGATTTGCCAGTAGAAGCTCCTTGCTTCTGTGTTATTTCGTCTTTAGATTTCGTAAAAGCACATCTGTAATGGCACCTTCACTCATATGAGCAAATTCTTAGTGACAATTTTAGTGACGAATGGTGGCCCATGTAAGAATTTCTCTGCAATTGTTTTTTAGCCTCTGGAGCAGTCAGATGTAGTGAGTGCCTTGCAAAATCCCAATAGTGTAAGCATCTTCACCTGCATTGTGGAATCGAGCTTGTATTCCTCTTTCGCGGGATGGATTTAGTGGAAAAGGCTGTGGGTGCTCTGAGGTCGGTTGTGCCAACGGGTTGGACGGCTTGACTTTTTAAATGCGAGTGTGAGAGGCAGGGAAAAGCCAGTACTAGATCAATTTTCTTTCAAGTTTTCTTCAAGGGAAAATAATCAATGGGATATTCTTACATTATGTCAGCCTCGCTATGGGGATCAAATCAAAGTTGATTTTCGTGCAAAATAATGTCACTATAAAGAGTGGTGGTCCCTGGAATTTGTAAAAAAGAAGCCCTGCTGAGTGTGTTTGCCACATAAGCCAGGAACTTCATATGGGGAATTAAATGAAGCAGAGCGGCAGCATCCCCTGCAAAGCATTTCATTTTTCAAAATTGTTTATAATTTTTAACTGTAAAATAGACATAATATAAAATTTACCTCTTTAACCATTAAGCATACAGCTCAGTGATGTTAAGTCCATTCACATCGTGCAAATGTCACCACCCCCATCTGGAACTCTTCATCTGGCCAAACGGAAACTCTGTACCCAGGCAACTCTAGCCGTCCATTCCCTCCTCACCCAGCCCCTGGCAGCCACCACGCCAAGTTCTGTCTCTGTGACACTTGGGACTCTATCTCTATGACTTTCTTGGGAGAGACCTACCTAGCTTCTTGGATTTCCCACCCCTTGGACCTGCGCTGAGATCTGGGACTGTCTGGCCTGGTGGGGCTGGTGGAGCGGGCGCGGGAGGCAGAGCCCGTGGAGCTCGGAGAGCGGGCGAAGGGTTCGCTCCACACCTGCGGCTCCGGGGAGCAATGGGCGTTCAGTGACGCTCCGCGAACAGGCAGCTCCAGCACCACCTGGGAGGCGGCCGGACGCGAAATCCTCAGCCTCACTGCAGACCTGCCGGATCAGCGGCATTTCCTCCACACTTGCTACTTCTTTTTATGGCAATCACAGAACTACCTGCTGTGTTCCAGGGACTATGCTGAACACACTCATGTTCTCACACGGCTTGAAAACACCCATTACATTCAGTGGGAAAGTGAAAGTATTCAAACTGATTGTGGGAGCCATATAGATAAACTATTTTCCAATTTTTTGTCTTAGCAATGTGAAGTTCTTCCCGTTTAACTTTCATAGAATTTGCCAGCAGAAGGCTCTTGGAAAATCTCATAGGCTTTGTAAAGGGCAGTAAAAGAGAGACATTAAACTAATTAAGTCTATTTGATACGCTAAATTACATGGGAAGCATTGTCAAATGAAAAGTGATGCTTAATCTTCCCTATATTATATTTGTACAAGTACATATTATTAATGTAAATATTTGAGAAATTATATGAAGTTCATAGAAATCTGTCAATGGCTCCCCTGTTCATGATATATCTGGCATAATGTTATCAGTCATAATTCCAGTTATTATGTTAAAATGTCATATGCCACAGAAATAACTAATTAAATGAATTCTCATCAGATCTTTAACCATGGCCACTTTAAATCTTTTGTCATTACCAGACAGTTCTTGTTTCACTCCGATGCTTTCCTAAAAGCTTTGCAAGCGGTTATAATGCAAAAGTGCTTCATCTTTAAAGAGATTCATGGCAAAGACTTCGACAAGTACAGGTTTCCGAGAACTTTAAGATCACGCCATTGGACCCAGTAAGAATTTCCAGAACTCTAATGAATAAACCTTGGTTCATACAACTGCTAACCCAAGATCGGACAGAACGAGATGAATTACATGGGAATGAACGAACTGATAAAGGATGGTTATGGTTTCTATTTTGGAACATTGCTTGTTCTGTAATATTCTATTTTCAAGATTTAAAGAACACTTTTCCCTTTCCTCTAAAACTATTTATAGCTAACAGCTATTTGGCAAGTATGCCTTTATAAACAAAAATGAAACATTTATTTTTTTCTAACAGCTTGATCCCCCCAGACTGAGTATTCCTATTATCATGGCAAATACAGTTATTTGCATAAGTTTAATAATAATCTATTCTCCTTATAACAAGACATTATTGAATTGGAAACATGTGTTATATTACCAAGGGTGGCTGGAATGTCCTATTTGAATGATGTGCACAGAATCAGATATGACCAGACAGGTTTAAGGAACTAAAATTGACTTTAGGGAGCCAATGCTTACAAGGCCCTTTTGGGGGAAAAAAGTTTCGATACTTGGCTTACAGGGCTTCTTGCTTTACAGTTGAGTAAGAAAGGTCTTGTCCTGGCCCAGGAACCTTTAAATATCGTAGGGACCCTGAGTAGTGGAATTTACCCAAATCTATAGATACTGAAGGTAAAGTCTGGTGGTGAGTTCTTGGCTTGACTTCCAGCCTCAAAAGGCTTTTAAAAGTCTAACATAAGATTCTTTATAAAAAGCTCTAGCACGGCAAACTAAGCAAAGGCCTTCTAATCAACTGCCACTTTTACTATGCTTATGAAAATAATCAGGCCAAGCGTAATGAGATAACAATTATTTTGCAAACAAAGTAGTTTTACTTTGATAGAAATGGGTGTGGCTGTAGAGAGAAAAATTATGTTTCACAGGAAAACTACGGCACACCCTATGGATTATTAGGTTTTATCCCTGTTCATTGTTTTTTTTTTTTTTTTTTTTTGAGGCAGAGTCTCACTTTGTTGCCCTGGCTAGAGTGCGGTGGCGTCAGCCTAGCTCACAGCAACCTCAAACTCCTGGGCTCAAGCGGAGTAGCTGGGACTACAAGCATGCGCCACCATGCTCAGCTAATTTTTTATCTATATATTTTTAGTTGGCCAATTAATTTCTTTTTATTTTTAGTAGAGACGGGGTCTCCCTCTTTCTCAGGCTGGTCTTGAACTCCTGACCTTGAGGGATCCTTCTGCCTTGGCCTCCCAGAGTGCTAGGATTACATGCATGAGCCACCATGCCCAGCCTGTTCATTGCTTTTGAAATTTTTTGTTTTTTAATCTCCCTATGGACTGGCCTGGTCCTGCTCAATTCCTCTAGCTTCCTCCAACATCTGGCTGTAACTGCTAAGTTAACATTTTCAACTTTCTTCCACCTTCCTGACCTGGCATCACTGGAAACTAAAACTTCTCTTTTCCCAGAGCCTTGCAAGCTGAAGGTAGATGACTTATATAAACTCCAGAGAAATAACCACAACCGATCAAGCACAGACAACCTTCCTGCCCATTGCTGTGTGGGCCATTTAGAAAGTTCACTAGGAAACCTAGTGTCACCACTGGAGATGTTCAAGCTGCAAACCAGGAAATTTGTCAGATGGCCACAGCCATCCTCACTTCACCATCTGAAGATGCTTCAAGCTTTAGTCTAAAAGTCTTGACTGGCTGCTCTTTGAACTCTGAAACTGAGTTTCCAACTGTTATACTTTGCTTTTCCTATATTCTCATGGAAACTCCTCTCCTTAAATGTCTGATGGCCCTGTCCAGTGGTACCCTCAATGATCACGTTCCAACAGATGGTTCAGCAGATCTTTAATGAAAAAAGGTGATCCAACAAGAAAATGGGTTTATATTATACAAAGGAAAGAAGAATATTTCTTCTTTTCTTGAACAAGAGAGGGCACTGACAAAGATTCTTTGCTTGACCAAACTTTAGTCAGACTCCTAAACCTTTCCCTAGGCCCACCTATGCACTTCCATGTAAAATGTGGTTCCAGTCTAATAAGAATGCTGCTAAACTAGGGTAGCCAGAATCTGTATCTGATCACCCTCAATGCAGAATTAGGTTTCCTGTCCTCCCTCAACCCCAGGTGTTGTCTAGTCAGCCGGGCCTGAGTTTGAGAGTCTTGCTAGATTGGTTTAGCCAGAATCCCTCTCATCTCTGACATTTTTCTTAGTAATTTTCCATCCACTGACCCCCCAACCCTGCTCCTTGGCTATCAATTTCCACTTGCCTATGCTGTATTTGGAGTTGAGCCCAATTTCTCCCCTACGGCAAAATCCCCTTGCAGTAGTCTAAACCTGCTGAGATGGTCCTTAACAAGTGTCACTCAATAATTTTTCCTTTCACAGTTAATGGTTCACAGCAGATAATGGGGAAATAAGTACCCTTCCCTAGAAATCATTTAATTAAGATAGATTAGATATTCTTTAAAGTTTACAGTTAGAAACTAGAAGGAATAGCTCTTTGATGAAAATTTGTTAAATATGCAAATGAAAAAACAACCTTAAAAAGCCTACCTGTTTAATCAATACTGAATTATAATTTCAAGCTTGGAAGCTTTCAGTCATCTTCCAAAGATACAAACTTTAACAGTTGTAAAATGCTCTGCTTTAGATATGATGAGAAGGAAGAAAATTTATTTAAAAATAACTTCTAGTGGAATCACAATGTATTTTCTGCTTAGATAAGCATTACACGTATGACTTAAAATTTGCTTTTGTTAAATTTTTCAAATACATTTTTAGGCAACTGCTAAATTGTTGATCTTCATTTCAAGTTTTAATTTTTCATTCTTCTGGACATCATTTCGTGATACCAATTGATATTTGTATCTGCCTTTTGTAATGTTAACTGAATTCATACTTTCTGGTTGATTTATCTCTAATCAGCCAGCTCATTGGTCAATTAGATTTTAAAAAGTAAAGCTCAAAACACGTATTTTAACTTTAGCCATTGTATTGTGTTTTTAAATCTTCTCCACTTAACCACTGTGGTGGCACTGTGTAAAGGGTACCACAATGTCAAATGCAAAGTAAACAATGAAAAGGAAAAACCAATATAGACAGCCTCGTATTAACTCACAGCAACAGATTGTTTTAGGAATATGAAGTCTTTCTCTTAATAAGAAGAAAGCAAAAGAAAATACAACAACTAAAAATTTTAAATAAATACTAGAAATGTTATGAGTGCATGTTGATTGGGTTGAGAGGTCTCTCTTAGAATTGATTCAGAACCAGTGCAGAATCTACATTTGCATTTAGGCATGTGTGTTTGTTCTTTCATTCTAATAAAGAAAACTCTTTGTACAAAATGAAGGTTCCCATGAGTACAGCCTGCGCGATGAGCGGCGCACTGCCGCTCAAACTGTGGACATGAACTAGTCTGTGTCCTGTTACTGCCCGACATGCGGACAGGTGACAGGAAGCATTGGGGCTTTTATAGCAATTCGAATCTAAACAAATATTTTATGCATTTTTAATGTTTTCTTCATTTTAATTTTCAAAGAAGTCATTGTCTTTCATAAAAATATTTTTAGTTTGTGACAGAGCGTAGGAAAAATAAAGCAAAAAAGCAAACCTTGTCCACTACACTTGTCATCTCATGCAGTGCCCAACTCGTCCACAAGATGGCGTCTTGCCGTCAAAGTTGCCGCTGGGAAGACTGGCGATCCGGGGCTCGCCGGCGGGGCTGGCTGCGCCCCACACGCCACTGCGGCGACGGGCTCGGAGCGGAGCGACGGTCCTCCGCCGCGCGCCGACGGTTGCGGCTGGGCGCGGTGCTCTGTCCCCTGCGAGCGCTGGGAGGCGCGCGTCCCGGGGAGCGCGGGGCCCGTGAGAGCGGCCCGAGCGCCCCAGCGCTGCGCTCCGATACGGGCCGGAGGCCGCGGGGAGCGCGCAGCGCCCGCGCCAGGCTTTTCCCGGGGCGGGCTCGAACTCGTGCGCACCGGAGTCGCCCGGGAGCCTGCGCTGCTAGGGCTGTGGGGATCCAACCCGCAGGTTCCGTTGGGCAGGGCTGACCCGAGCCCAGGGACCGCACTTGAGAAGGCCGCCCTGTGACCGAGAGCGGCCTGGTCGCGGAGGGCAGCCCGGCACCGCCCGCGGGGGAGCCCGCCGCCTGGCGTTTAGACGCCGGCGCTGATGTTGCCGGGTTGCGACGGTCCGTGCGGCGGTTTAGCAAGCAGCCTGGTCTCTGCTACAGACAAGCTGGATTTTGTGGAGCCCGAAGCGTATACAATTTTGAAAAAGATTTAAAAATTAGGTAAACAAATACACATTTACCTAGAATGAGCAAATAGAAGCAAATCCAAATATTAAAAAAGTAGATCAATGTCATAATTGTCATAAACCCCAGCAAAATAGCATCATATTTTTATTAATTGTCTGACACATCTCCCTAATAGTTATTGTTTTTCTGCATTTTTGCCTTCATTCTTTTTAATTGCCTCTTCAAATGACAATTATTATATACTATGACTTTATATAACAAAATTAGAAAGTCTCAAGATTTGTATTTTATTCTTAATAGCTTAAATTTTTTTTCAGCTTCACAAAAGATAATATATAAAGTATTAGAAATGTTATCAAATTAGGGAAAACTTCTATTATCTTTCTGTCATAAATGAGCTGTCTGATTTCAGGGCATTTCAAGTTTTACGGTGCGAGGACTAAGCTTAAATGCTGCTTGAATTGTTGACAGTCTAACCCGTTAAGTGCGATGTCCCTGTTGCGGTGTTTGAAGTTTTACGTCATTGTAGTATGTATTGTACTGCTACCGCACATAAAAGGCTATCAAACACTTAGGGGCTTCAAACGGCACGAACGTGTTCCTTTACATCTTTGCGAGTTGGAAGTCCCCCAGGGACTCTCAGGGCGAGGTGACCTGGAGATTTCCTGCTGTTCAGAACCTCTTAGGGGATGAGCATGGCTCTTTTGACGTCGCCCCAACCCACACGCCTAGGCCAACGGTCACACCTAGTAGCTGCTCAGCAACCTTATAAATGCGTGGACAGGCCTGAACACCCTCATCTGTAAAGGACAGCGCTTAGATTTGGTCATCGTGGAGGTCCTCTCAGGGCCTAACATTCTATTCTAAAGCATTTTAAGCCAGTTGTTTTAATTCCTTTGTTCCATATTCAACAAAATCACCACAGTTGTTCTTCTGTTGTTTAAGAGACAATATTAAATGTTGCGGTCAGGCCTGGGAGGCCAGAGCACTGGCTCCGGAGTCAGGCCTGACTCGCGAAGGCTGAGGTAGCACCTGCGGCAGAGCGTCGCCGCACGGAGCAAGCAACAGCGATGGCAATAACAATAAAAATAACAGGTGATGGTTTTGAGGCCCTTCTCGAGGCCAGGAGGCTGTCACACACTGGGTGTGGGATAACGCCCTTGACCCTCAGCTATCCAGTGAGGCAGCACTGTTATTACTCCATATTACAAATAAGGTCACTGAGGCACCAACAGTCTAAGCCACGTGCCCAAGGCTGCTCAGCCGGCAAGCAGTGAACGCACCCAGCGGACGCGAACTCGGGCGGATTAAGGCGAGGTGACGCCCGCGGTAAGTGTCCAATACATGACGAGTAGTAGGCACAGCGAGCACAGTGGAGGCAGTGGAAGGAGGCCGGGGTGCAGACGCCCGTGAGCGAGGCCGAGCGCCTGCGGTTGAAGCTCCCGCACACGGACGGGGAAGGTCGCGAGCGCGGGGACATGTAACGAAGACGTCGTCCACGTGCTCTCGGCGCACGAGAGAGACGGGGCTGGTGAGGGACCAGAGGGGCTTTCACAGGACGTGGCCTCCCCGCCAAGCCTGGATGATGCGGACGAGCGCTCGAGGGCGAGAGAGCACCGCGGGGGGACGTGGCTTCCGCCCAGCGTGGCTTTGAGGAAAAGGAGGGGCCGGGAGGGCGCCGGGAGGTGGGATCGCGGAGACCCCGAACGTCCTGGGGGAGCTGGACTTTATCCTGCAGGTAATGGGACTTCAGTGCCGTTCTGAACGGCGTCTTGTGTGCTGCCATGGAGCGTCCTGCCTTGGCGAGGGTGGAGCCGCTCTTGGCCGGGAGCCTGAGCCGAACTAACGGTGTCGCAGCGCACGCTCTCGCCACGCGCGCCTGGCCCGGCTCCGCCTGCTGGAACGTCTCGAGTCAGCTTGCGTTCGCGCCCCAGCCTCCCCGCCGCCACGCACTCCGCAGGCCACTTGGCTTTGTAGAGCCGTTTTCAAAAGTGTTTATAATGTCTTACTACTGCCTGTTCCATCTGCTCCTCACTCCTGGGGGCCTGGCTCGGCGCACGGTGCCAGGAAAGGTTAAAAATGTGGCTCTCCTCCTTCTATCATGTGGTTTTTTACTGTCTTTGCATCCATCCTTCCGTAGGTGACTCAGTGCAATCTTACCTTTGAACGAAGCCAAGTCTGTTGCTAATTCTCAAATTAAAAAAAAGAAAACATACAGGCCATCTCCCCAGTAATCTCAGCGGGCCACTATGACAGTGCTAACACACGTGCACATGCACACGCGTGCACACACACGCACTGTGGCTCAAATAACTCTTCCATAGTTGTGTTTTGCTAAAACTCTGTATGTGAGGTGCCAATGTGTAAACTTTATTTTAAAAATAAATGCTAAAGGTAATATTCATAATAAAAATCATTCTCATTCAAGAGATGGAGAGAATCAATACATTCAAAACATGGATTGTCAAGGTCATTTCAGTGAAAATGATACGGGTTTTCAAGTAAGCTTTTGAATTCTGTAGAAACATTTGACCAGAAATTCATTTTACCATTATAATTTAAAAACTGTCAGCAAATAGAAATGGAATGTTTTTGAAATAGATAATATTTAATAAAAGGTTTAAGAAAATCTCAGCCTTTATCTTCTTGTTAAAATATGACATTCCTTGGAAAAACAAGCACCACATGTACTCACCATTAAATTGGTATTAATCGATCAACACTGAAGTGCACATATAGTAATAACATTCATTGGGTGTTGGGCAAATGGGAGGGGGAGGAGGGGTCGGGTGCGAACCGTTTGGGGGATGGACGTGCTTGAAGCTCTGACTTGGGTGGGGCAAAAGCAATATATATTACCCAAACATTTGTACCCCTGTAATATGATGAAAGAAGAAAAATAAAATATAACTTTTTTTGAAGAATAGTAAGTCATGTTAAACTGTTTGCAAATGTACATATTGCTTTTTGCCTTAATTTAAATGGTAGTACAAGTTTTTATAATTAGCCTAGATTACCATCCTTGCTTCTTTTATTTAATAAACTCTTACTTGAATATTTTCATATTTGCATCTGCTGCCTATGAAGCATGCATTTTTTGTTTACCAATACAAGTATACAGAAAAATTAAGAAAAAATATCAAAGGTCTCAATCAGCAAACAGCAAGAGCTATCTTTTGTTTTATAGTTGTAGCAAGAACTCCTCCTAGTGGACTTTCTCAGAATTATTTACTACATTTGCAGAAAAAGGCATGAGGCACAGTAATGGCATAAAATCAATACAGCATAATAGCTGATCTCTTTTCCAGTGGTGCAGAACATATTTTTCTGCCATTATGGAATAAATTGAAAGAACTTACAGCATACATAAAGCAAGTATTGAGCAACAAGACAACCTAGATTGAACCTCTGGTTATTGTTTACCTTATATTGTGTTCTTTTATGTAGGAAAGAAACATAATTTTAATTATAGAATTATACATTAAAACTTTTCCAAAATTTATTTTTTAATAGACCCATTATAATTGTACATATTTACGAGGTACAATTTGATGTTTTGATGCGTATATATGTTGTATCCAAATAGGGCATTTAGCATATCCATCACTTTATGCATCTATCATTTCTTTTTTTTTTTTGAGACAGTCTCACTTTGTTGCCCAGGCTAGGGTGAGTGCCATGGCATCAGCCTAGCTCACAGCAACCTCAAACTCCTGGGCTCAAGCGATCCTCCTGCCTCAGCCTCCCAAGTAGCTAGGACTACAGGCATGCACCACCATGCCTGGCTAATTATTTTGCATTTATATATTTAGTTGGCCAATTAATTTCTTTCTATTTAGAGTAGAGACGGGGTCTCGCTCTTGCTCAGGCTGGTTTCGAACTCCTGACCTAGAGCGATCCGCCTGCCTTGGCCCCCCAAAGTGCTAGGATTACAGGTGTGAGCCATCGCGCCTGGCCCATCTATCATTTCTTTGTGGTAAGAAGATTCAAAAGCCTGTCTTGTAGCTATTTGGTAACACACAATATTTACTGTTGATCATCTGTCACCCTGCTGTGCAACAGGACACCAGAACTTACCTCTCCTGTCTCCTTGTAACTTTGTCCCCATTGGCCAACCTCTCCCCTCCGCTTCTCCCTCCCCTGAATATGTGAGCATCTTCTAGGTGTATTCTCACATTTGTGAAATTGCTTTAAAAATTTATTTTTTTACAGTTATAGAACAAGATGAATGCTAAATATCCAATTTTTAAAAAAGAGCACAAACATAGTGACTGTTAATTCTTATTCCGTCAAAAACTTACACTCTGAACACTTCCTTAATGAAAAGGAACAGATAGTGAAAATTTTTTTTTTTAACAATTTGTGTCAAATTATAGAAGTTTAACAGAAGAAAACTAAAGCTTATAATGTAAGAAAGCACTATGTATGGGACAATGTCCAGTGCGCTTATTCTGGAAGCGACGGAAAGCTTGGTGGAGGAAGGCAACGAGACGGTCGTGACCAGCACGACGCGCTCGTCTCAGCTCTTCTGCTTGGATGCTGTTCGGCTTCTTCCCCGATCTCCGCGCCGGGTAGTGTCTCCCAGGTCCTGCTTCCCGAGTGCACATGCGGAGTCAAGTCCCAGACAGGCGTGGGCCTGAGTACAGTGTTTGTTTTCGCCACGTGCACTGCAACGCGGCTGCAGGAACTTCTTCCTCGCGCCGTGTCCGAAGTGACTCCTGCAGCGAAACACCCAGCACTTGACGTTACTGCAAGGGGCACGACCACGGACTTTGTCTAACAATCTGCTCTATGTTACAAATGATGAGAGGAGATAATTATTTTAAAAAGCCACATTCCTACAGGTCATTAAAATGAAAAAGGCCTCTTACTGGAACACAGAACTTCCTTGTTTTCATTCTGACAACAGATTAATTATAGTACATGACATTATCCCATATCTCTTATCCCTGTAATAAGAGAAGTTGTAAGCCACATTCTTGACTTGAATTATTTATTAGTGGTTCCAACAGTGCAAACGGCTTTCTGAATGAAATAAAGCTTTTTGGGATTAATGTACCTCTATCCTGCAATTTAGTGAACACATTTTGGTATTTTTTTATTACTAGCTACAACTTCTCTTTAATCATGATACATCATTCTGTCCGTGTAACATATTGGATGCACATGTAGTGCCTAAGACAAATCCCACACTGTCCCCACGCATCTCATTTTCTTCACTTTCTATCAACATTCATTTCTCTCTCTTGGTATTTGGCATATACTAGATTGTGTCATTTCATATATGTTTGGTTTGACTGTAAACCCCTTGAAAACAAAGAACATTAGAACAGTGTATTTCAAAAGTGCCGTTCACCAAATACCTTTATCAATAACCCCTGGGGAATTTGCTAAAAAGCTTGTTCCTGGGCTGCACCCCAGAAAAGAGGCTTTGGGGAATGTGGCTCCAAAATTTGTAATTGACAACTCTCTAGATTATTTCTCTGCATACTGAAAATGGCGCACGGCTTCCTGGAAACAGCATCTCGCATGTTGGAGGGACACGGTGCTCCCTCACAGGCTGGCACAGTGCTCCTGAAGTGGCGTCCAGTGGAGGAAGCCGAGTGCTCAGGCCCAAGCTTGGGGCTCCCCTAAGTGGGCCAGAGTGGAGGTGGGGCCACTCCTTCCACTCCCCCTGAGCCGAGAAGGCCCATTCTGCAGCCACTGCCACGGGAGGTGCACCAGGGACTGGGGAGCGAGGAAGGACACCTTAGCCTCACTAGCCACACTTGCCACGCCAGGTCACAGGATGGTCACAATCAGATCATCTCCCAGAGGAGAATCAGGCTCCATGATCAGAGCCGATCTCTAAAGGAAACACAGAAAATACAGGAATGCCCTATGTTTGAATTTTGCGAGCCTTCTTAGTCACCACCAGGCTGTTGACATCAGCTGGTCTGTGGGCCACTCTGCTTTGCTAGACAGGCCTACTAGGGATGAAGTTAAGGAAAGGACGTACTCAGTGCAGCGGGAGGTGGACATCTTCCCAGTTGGCTTCCTCACTGTCATGGCTGGTACCTCTCTGCCCTTTGCCCTTTTCTCTCCCTACAGGTGGCGTTGCATCTTCTAGGACCTCTCTGTCTGGCTCAGCTTCTCGTGGCATGGTGGTCTCTCGGTGACTGGCCCGGCGGCTGGTTCCCAAGAGACAGGAAGGGGAAGCTGTCCCCCCAGAAGCCAAGCGGGCTGCTGCCTGAAGCTCCTCAGGAAAGGACTGCGGCAGCGGCAGAGACGTGGAGCGAGGTCCACTGAAGGTCGCTCTGATGTTCTCGAGGGCCTCACTGAACTTACGGTGCGTATACTGCTGCAGTGGAGCTGTGGAGATGGAGAGAAGGCTGTGAGCTGAGGCTTGAAGGAGAGAAAGAGAAGGGGGGACACTATTCTTTGGAAGTTTGAATAAAAAAGGGAGGAGATTAGTTAGGCCGTAGCCTGCAGAAAAGTCTCGGTCAGGATGGGAGAGAAAACGCGCGTGGAGGGGCGGGGAGAAGGCGCTAGGGGCGAAAGGGGCACAGGCACAGGCGGCCAGGCGCTGTTTTGGAGGCGGGTGGGGGACAGTGGGGAGGCCGGGTCTGAGGGTCGCCTCATACTCTGAGGGTGGAGGCGGGGACCTCAGAGCAGCCGGGCAGGGGTGAGGGTGAGTGGCGGAAGGTGGACCGGCCTCCTCTGTTGTTGATAAGACCATAGGCAAGTTCATCTTCTAACATGAAGAAGTTAGGGACTGTGCTGGCATCTTGAGGAAAGCAGCCAAGATTTGGAATATTTAGACAAGGGAAGAATGAATCTAGGATAAGGAAAAGGACTGAGCAGTGGTGGTGAGTGTCCAGCTGAGCTGGTGCCGTCCTGCATGACTTCCCGAATCCTCCGTCAGCGCTGGGCAGGGATGGGAAGAAGAAAAGGCATGAAGGAATTAAAGATGCTTGTGAGCGAGCAGTTCTGGCAGTCAGTTGTGGGGTCCAGAAAGGACAGGAAAGGCAGAGCGGAAAGGGAGCTTGTTTAGCTCGACCATCTGTACACCGTACACCGGGTAAGGAGCTGCCGTTGGTCCTTGCGTGGAATTATTCAGTATTGAATTGGACAGTTGTCCTCTTTCTCTCCTTCCACTTCCTGGGTGTAGAATTTTATGTCTAACTACTTTGTGATCCAAATTAAGTCATACATATAGAACATACGAAAAATATTAAATGCAATAACACACATACATGATCAAATGAGCAAGGACACTTCATAGCTACTTAGCATTTTACAGTTCTCCAAGATTATCAAAATGTTTTTATCCTTTTTCAGACTTTCAGTTAAAAGATGAAGAATTTCTGGGGCTCTAAGGTGCCCAATGGTGACTGTAGTTAATAATCCTTTACTGTACACTTGAAATTGGCTAAGACAGTAGATCTTAAGTGTCCTCCCCATCCTCAGAACAGTCACTATGTGAGGCGACGCATCTGTTAATTAACTTGATTGTGGAAATCATTTCACAGTGTATACATATATCAAATTATCGTATCTTACACCTTGAATGTATACAATTTTTGTCAATTATACCTCAATAAAGCTGGAACACATGTATTTTTTATCCTTTTTTAAAACAAGTAATGAATGAATGTATTCTACTTGTAAAATATTCAAATATGATAGAAAGAACAGAAGATGCAAGACCCTTGCTAAGCCATTCTCCACCTTGACGGAGGTGGAGAGTCTGGTGTGCGCGGAGCTTTCTCCAGCCCTGAAGACGAGAGGTCACCTGGCTGGCAGAGGAAGACGAAGGGCTTGGGGGCTGAGGAAGGCGAAGGGCTTGGGGGCAGAGGAAGGCGAAGGGCTTGGGGGCAGAGGAAGGCGAAGGGCTTGGGGGCTGAGGAGCTCCACAACCAGCCTGTGTGATCTGGGACAGGCTTCTTAAATTCCCAGGTGCTCAGTTTCCTCACCTCTAAAATGGGTCAGGAGGTACTTTTAATTGGAATCTCTTTTCAAATTTGGGACAGAAATGGGATGGAGAACAAAATTGTTTAAAAATGTATTGAGTCAAGAAAATTCCCACCCTAAGAAAGTATATCCCTTCCAAGCTCTAGTTTCTTCTCCCAAGGATGATGGAAGTACCAAACAAGATCTGATAAGAGAATACCAATCACTGAGTTACAGCAACGTTGGGGTTTTTGTATTCTTAGAAAAAGAAATGTTTCTGTGAAGTGCCGCACTAATTGTCCCAGGCACATTTGTTTAGCTGAGGTATCTAAAGAAGAATGAGACTTAAACACTCCTTAAACATGGCAAAAAATAAGACAACATAAAACAGCAAAGTTGCATCATGATTTCAAGGAAGATCGCTGCCTTCCAGATAAGAAGACGGTTCCCTTGTCCACTGCTGTCCCCGAGAAAATCCTTAGATTTTGTTTGGGTAAAGCTGAGCATTCTCCTACTGCAGAGTTTGCTGTTTCTTTTGCCAGGGATAATTGCTTTGTCCCTGATCAGAGAATTAACCTTTTGGAGGCCTTGCTACAAGTTTCTCACTGCCCAGTTTCGTTCAGGAGAACTTTTCTGCACTTGCCCCATCAAAATTCAAGCAGAAAAGGCTTAGACGAACAGGTGTCATCAAACCTGCCCTCCTGGCAGCTGGCTCACTCCCAGGCCCCTTCCTGACTCGGGAGGCTGGATCTGAAGCAGCAGAGGACCCATTGCTTGTGGCCCCAAGTGTGCTAAGGAGTCCCTTTGCACTGCGGAGGACTCAGGGTGCATGCTTTAAACATAAAACATTTATTTGGCATTTTTTCAGAATCAGAAGCTTCAGGTTTGGGTCATGTCACTGTTCCTGAGGCAGTCGCTCAGCATGTTTGTTCTGATTTGTGACTTATTCTCATCCAGTGAAGCTGGTGCCAGTAGAAACACAGTTAACTAAAATATGTTATTTTCTCAAAGCTACAGCCTATCACCTCGTGCCTGGCTCTGTGCGAACCTCAAGCCCTCGCCATTTGCTTGTGTTGCATTAGGAGTTGCATAACAGTGAGAAGAAGGAAAGAGAAAGGGGCAGAACTCACAGCCGGCCTTGTTGCTGCCAGCTGATTCCATGGGCTGCTATTTTCAGGGAGTGGGAGAAGGGGTTCTGTCTTGAGAGTCTGTAGTTTTTGAGCCTCTGGGCTTTAGATCTTTGCTCCAAGAAAAATAAAAAAATAAAAGCTTAATACAAAATAGGGTAGAATTTTGGATTTGGGAGCACTACTGAGAATCTGGCATATTAAGGCTCCATATTTCTAAAACTCTTTCAGTTACAGCCATTTTTAGAGATATTCTCCCTGGTGACCCTCAGCTCAGTCAATCAGGGACTGCACAGGCGTTGTTAGCCCACTGCTCAGGGCAGGAAAACTCAAGGTCAGCTGGTCAGTGGCGAGGCCAGGACACGGGCGGCAAGACTGCTGGTCTACCCAGTAAGCAGCTTCATCAGCACATCCAGCTGGAACTTCAGAGAGATGTGGTGAGATGCCAAGAGTCTCAGAAATTTCCCATTTCTATTTCTACTTGTATATGTAATAATCCAAAATTTTACGAAAACAAAACAGATGAGTCTTAGATTCTACCTGCTTTGCCAAATAGAGTTTCAGCTACTTTAATTCTTAAGTTCACCTACAGATTCACCTTTGTAAATGAGAACAAAGTATTTTGTTACTGATAAAATTTTAATGCTCTTAAGGTAGAATTATACCTTTTATTTACTTGGCATATTTTTTCCAGGATAACACAATAATTTCCAAATTTTATTTATTTATTTACTTATTTTATTTCAGAATTTTATGGGGGTACACACATTTTGGTTACATAACTTGCTTTTGTACAGTTTGAGTCAAAGTTGTAAGGGTGTCATTCACCCAGGTAGGGTGCATTATACCCGTTAGGTGTGAATTTACCCATTCCCTCCTCCCCTCTCTCACCTACTTGATTTCCCTTGAGTTTTACTTCCACAGGTGCACGTAAGTGTTGATAGATTAGTTCTAATTTAGTATTGAGTATATGTGGTATTTGTTTTTCCATTCTTGTGATACTTCACTAAGAAGTATGACCTCAAGTTCCATCCAGGATGTTACAAAAGATACTAGATCACCATTTTTTTTAAATAGCTGAGTAGTATTCCATGATATACAGACACCACATTTTATTAATCCACTCATGTATTGATGGGCATTTGGGTTGATTACACACCTTTGCAATTGTGAATTATGCCACAGTAAACATTTGAGTACAAGTATCTTTTTTATACAATGTCTTTTTTTCCTTTGGGCAATACCCAGTAGTGGGATTTCTGGATCAAATGGTATTTCTATTTTTAGCTCTTTGAGGTATCTCCAAATTATTTTCTGCAGGGGTTGTACTAATTTGCAGTTCCACCAGCAGTGTAAGAGTGTTCCTTTCTCTCCACATCCTCACTAATATCTGTTATTTTGGGACTTTTTGATAAAAGCCACTGTCACTGGAGTTAGGGGATATCTCATTGTGGTTTTGATTTGCATTTCCTTGATGATTAGAGACGTGTAGCATTTTTTCGTGTGTTTGTTGGCCATTAGTCTATCTTCTTTTGAAAAGTTTCTATTCATGTTTTTTGCCCACTTTTTAATGAGTTGTTTGATTTTTTTTTCACTGATTTGCTTGAGTTCTTTGTAAATTCTTCTTATCAGCCCTTTATCAGATGTATAACATGCAAATATTTTTTCCCATTCAGTAGGTTGTCTATTTGCTCTGTTATGTCTTTGGCTGTGCAGAAGCTTTTAAATTTGATCAGGTCCCATTTATTTATTTTTGTTGTTGCTGTGATTGCTTTGAGGGTCTTGTTCGTAACATCTTTGCCTATGCTGATATCTATAAGAGTTTTTCCAACATTTTCTTCTAAAATTCTTATAGTTTCATATTCCCAAATTTTAATTAGCCAATTAATATTCACTGTAGGAGTCAGATTATAGAATTTAAAAATTCTGTATAGAATCCTAGTTAGGGTGCTTTTGTTTGAAGTAACAGAACTCCACTCAAATGGCTTAAACATTAAAGCTATTCGTTGGCTCATGCGATGAATCCCAGGGTAAGGGAGTGACTCCAGAACTGATTCACTGATTCACTCAGCAGTTCTCCGCCGTGCTGAAGGCCAGGTTCCCCTGACTCTCTGCCGTGCTGTTCCCAGTGTCACGTTGCTGAGACTCCCAGGATCTTATGCAGGCTGCTTGCTAGGGCTCCATGCTTCCCTGTTGTGTCCAAAGGAGAGTTGCCCCTGAAGCCTCCATAGAAGAATGAATATGGATCCTTCCTGGAAGCCCCTCGTCA